CGACACCGCCCCACCGCACCGCTCACCCTCCCCCCCCATCCTTCGCGCATGGGCTCTTCGAAGGCTCTGGAACTTTCCACTGTGCTGCCGGATCCGCGCTGGCGCGGCATGCGCACGCGCGCGAACTCGGGCGCGCGGGTGCTGCGGCGCCCGCCACGCGCGGGCGCTCCCGCCCCCTCTGCGCCGGCCTCTCGCCCCGCGCCGCATGCGCACCCGCGGCGACACCGCCCCACCGCACCGCTCACCCTCTCCCCCCATGCGCCCCCCCGTGCCCCACAGACCGCGCCGGCCCCCGACCCCCTTCGCTCCCTCTCGTGGGTCGCGCACCTTGGCCCTCCGCGCGAACGTCCTCTTGGGCGACATGGTGGGCTTGGGCGGCGGCTCTGGCTGCGGCGGGTTGGGGGCTATGCTGCGAATGGGGGGTGTCGCAGAATAAGTAGCCGACCGCGCAGGGTTGGTGTTGGAGGATCTTGACATTCGCTTTTTCGCAGATCTTGAGATTCGCAGGATCGACACGTCACGTCGTCGCGGAACGGTGGCGGGTATTTATGGAGACGCCCGTGGCCGTTCGCTACCAGTTTCTCCGCTCCGCCCCAGCCCAGGCCCACCACGCCCCCCGCCGCAGGCCGCCAATCGCCGATCGCAGCCGAATGGCGGACGGGCGCGTGAACCGCGGCTCCGCCCCTGACCGCCTCCCCAGCGGGGCGTGCCCCGAATGGGTGGGCAGCCCCCCATGGGCCGTGACCGGCGCCGCCCTGGACGACGGGGCGGATGCGACGAGCCTCGCCGCGCGTGCGCATGAGGCGGGGCCGCGCGCAGCGGCTGTGAGAGCGGCGGCCGCGGCGAGAGCGGCCGGGGCGGGCGGGGCCGGGGGCGTCGGTGTTGCCGCCCCGGCAAGGATGCCGGCCGGCGCGGCGGGCAGCACCGGCATGGCGCCCGCCCTGGCCCGCCCCCCCGGCCTCAATACCATGGCCGGTGGCCCGGCCCGCGCCCTGGGCAGCGCTGCCAGCGCCCCGCCGCCGGCGGCCAGTGAGTGGGGGCACGGGGCAGGCCCCTCGCGCCGGGCAGCCGCGGCCCCCGATCCGCCGGAGGCGGCGACGCCACCCATCGCCCCCTCTGAGGAGGAACCTGCTGAGGGGGGGTGAGTAAACCGGAAAGGGGAGAGAATACATAAATCCATTTAATGGATTTCCCTAGCAATTTTCGAATTTTTTATTTCCTCTGTTTGCGCGCGCGGCGCGCGCAAAGGGTGTCTGCGGCTGCTGAGGGGGGAGTAAGCCGCCAAGGGGAGTGAATAGAAAAAACATTTTTTTGATTTCTTTGGCAATTTTCGATTTTTTTTTCCTCTGTTTGCGCGCTCGGCACGCGCAAAGGATTCCCCAGTGGCCGAGGAATGCCGTACTGAACGTGTTTGTTTGCGGTGGCGCAGGGACTCCCTCACCCTGAGGATGCGCGTCCCCTCCTGGGGGGACGTTTGGAGATGCGCTGGGCGGTGGGACGAGCACGGGCGGACCGTCCACCCTGCCTGCCCCTGGTACAAGGCCGCCGTCACCCCCGCCGAACTCGTCTTCGGCTGCAAGGCCTGCTGGCTCAACAAGGGCCGGCGGTGCTGGGTGACGGCGGGCCCCCCTCCCACCGGCGCAGAGCCTCACGGCCCCGTGGCCGCCGCCTGTGCCGCCACCGCAATGGTGGGCCTGGCGGTGGGTGGGTCCGCCCGCGCCCTGGGTCGGGGGCCGGCGGTGCCGCCGGGGCCCGCGCAGCGTCCCCGTTCTCCCTCCGGCCATGGCCACCTCCAAGGGGCGGGTGGACTTGCGGAGGGAGGCGTTGCGGCGGGTGCGAGGGCGGCCGGCGTGGCAGCGGAGGGCGGCGGTCGGCCGTCTGCTGAGTTAATCCGGCGGGGGGGCGCCGTTGACCACGTGGGCAGCCCCGGCCTCCTCGACACTTTCATGGAGGCTTTTCGGAGGGCCGGCGGGCGCTCCGCCCCCCCCAAAGGGGTGGATATGCGGTGGGGTGCTCCCGACCGGCCTTGGCCCACGCACGCGCCATGCCGGCCGCCAACCCGCCGGGTGCAGGGGGACAGGGCGGCCCGGGGTGGTGGTTTGGCAGAGGGGGGTGAAGGGCGGTGGGGTGGGGAGGGGGTGGGGTACCGGGACGAGGTGGATGGCGGGGGGGAGTGGTGTGGTCCGCCAGGGGAGTGCGAGCACGAGGGGCGGCGCGGCGGATGGTAGAGGTTGTTGGGCTATGCGGAGGGGTAGGGTCGGTGGGTGTTGACTCCCCACTTGGGAGCTGACGTTGTGCTGTAAATTTTTTGTAACCACTTTTTTGAGATTGTGCTGTGTATCGCTGAACGTGTGTTGTAAATGCGCTCTCCCTCTACTGTTTGTTGTGTACTCAAATACAACAATATTTCGCACAAACACGTCCATTTTCAGACGTCCAGTCCTGCGCACAACCGTTTCGCCAAAATAATCACATAACAACAATGCTGCGCACAAATGCTCCTATTTGGACCTTACCGACATTTTGCACGAAAGCTTGTTTTTCAAGGACTGTGGAACATTCGAAACACTAATGTGCTCGTTGCATGAGCAATCTTGTCAGTGACAAACAAAGGGCCATGGACGCCTTGTCTTGCAGGATATTCGCCTGAAGGGCGTTACATTGTGCGCGGCACTGTTGATGTAAGACCATGAAAACCAAACCTAATTTGGGAATGGCATGCTTGGGTGCCGCAGCTGATGCCCTTGTTCTCCTCTTTAGCCGAAGCAGAGGGCGCCTTTTCTGGAAAGAAAGCCACTTTGCGAAGAGTCGACTTGAATATTGTAAGATACCAGTCCAGAAGTCGGGCCTTCGGCCCCGACGTTCTGCACTTTTTCGTTCCTGATTTATCCATTAAAAGCCCACTCACTCGGTGGCTGGGCTGCGCAGTTGATGTTTTGTGTTGGGCGACAATTGTGCTTCGATTGCTGTGTCCCTTGCCACCATCACTGTCCCCACGGCTGCGCAGCACCGCCGTGTGAGTTTGCTCCCACTATGCTGCACGGGGAGTCCTTGTCGAGGGCTGCAACGTCGACCGTTGAGCTCTGGGACCCGAGCCATTGCCGCTGCGGCCATTGGCGCTTGTGATGGCCGGCATCGCCACTGCGACGATGCGGGATCGCTTCCCACTATCGCAACGCACAACTCCGCACCTCGAAAGCTGGCGCTGGCTTCGGCGAGGCCTCTGCCAGGTTCACCCACCACCATCGGCATCGCATGCCATCTCCACGGGCGTGATTCGCAAGCCATCGCCGCAGCCGCATTGCCCTCAATCGCCCCAAAAGCGCAATCGACACTAACGGCACGTGATTGGCGCACACCGCGCGCTGTGATCGTAACGGCGGAGGTCCACGCCCCACCTCGTGCTCGCGCTCAAGATTCCCACCCGCCCCGGGTAGGAATCTCACCCCCGCTCCGCTTTCCAAACCTTCACCCCAGGGCCCGCGGGCCCCGAGCGCTTGGCCTTGAGGGGCGCGCTAACTGCATCCGCTGCCGCGGTCGCCGTGCCGATGTCTGCCACAGCAGAGCGCTGGAAGGCCCAGGAGTACCTCCGCGGCCCGACTGGATCCCTTGCGGGAACAGCAACGCTGAGCCGCGCGTTTGGGCGCGGGCCATCGCCGTTATGACGATTGGCTCCGGCGATGGTCTCCATTGCCGCCGCGACGACGCGGAATCGCGACGGGAAACGTGCGCGTCGAGCGCAAGGGCGCACGGCGCGCCACAGCCACGGCACCGCTAGCCGCGCGCCTGCCGTCGGTCGCCCTCGAGCGCAGCCACCGGCGCCACCCAGGAACGCATATGCCCACAGCATCCGACTCGGAGGGCCCCGCCACTCACGTAACCCCCATGTCACAGGGGTCGATTCTTACACAAGAACGCTGAGTCAGGCTTTAACAAAATTGATTTCCGGGGCGCTCAGCCGCGTTCCCAGCATATAATATTAGATCCAACCCTTCGCATCAGAAAACTTCACCATTACGCTTGTTGCTCCGCACTTTTTTTCAGAGCGTTATTTTAATTTTTCGTACGTTGCTCATGACGGAAAGGCCAAGATTTGCGTTATTATTTATATTATTTTCTCCGGAAAAAAAGGCCAAGCGTTACGTTACTATGCGGAAGGGTTTAATATTTTACAGCAGGCACTTTATGCAGATTCGAAGCTTGACCTTCTTTCGCAGAACACAGCGCATCGAGCCATCTCTGGCCCAGCAGTTTGGCTCTTGTTGTGCAGAACTTTCTGTTATGATCTGTATGCCGCTCACTCTGTGTTTCGATGATAGTACCAATCACCAAGTTGATTATTGCACTGGCTGTTTTGGTTGGGTGCAAATGAATAAATGCTGTGGACAACATGGTGTCTGCAATGTTTGTGCATGCAGTAAAACTGAGGATGCCCAATTGTCGTCATCCCATAGAAGCCTTCCAAATGCTCCAGTATTCACACCAGGGCATCGTTTATTGAACTGCACCTGATCCAACACGCCAAACTCTCCATTTACAATGGCACCGCCACATGGTAACCCCTGCCTGCTCGCTAGTCATCTAGCCGCCCTTGGAAGAACACACCCATGCTCTGATGCTGGCACCAGCCTTCAGCGTCGCTGTTCATCTCAGAGTGGCTGCGCCCACTTTCTCAAGCACATCCACAACCCCATTCACACCAGGCATCTTAACAACAGCCAAAGCACATGTTGTACAACCCAACCGCGCTTACAGGCATCCCAAGAGCCACGGTGAAGACGCACACTGGAGGAAGTCCCCATGGGTGCAGGGCTCATATGTGTTGTAACATGAGCTGTCCAAGCCGGCCACCCCCCAAACACCGGCCACCATCAGGTTCTCCTTCCCGTCATTGTGATGCATCACATTCCTGTCCACCAGTATGACTTGCCAAATGGCCCAGCACAGTGCCCATGCTGGCCAACTTCACACCCCACCGCCGGTGTGCTCCTGGCTGGCGCTCACGGCTTGTCGTTGTCTGCCTCGTACTGGAGGTTGTCTGATAGGACAGCAAGCCGGTTGTACTCCTCTCTTTGCCTAACCTTGATCTCGTCCACCGCCTTCACTGCAAAAGTCGCCGCCACAAGGGACAGTGCAAAGTTGAAGAACATGAATGCTGCAACACAGATAGATCCCAGGTTCACACTTGCTGCTGCCATGGTACTATTTTCTTCTTCTCGTGGTGGGTCTTGGGGGCGTAGGGTGTGGCCGGGGAGGGGGAAGAAGCACAGCTCCATGATTCATTTGTTGTTTGCAGTGACACCAGCCCAATGATGATCAGCAGCAACAGAAGCATATTGAGCAAAACAGACAGGTTCATCCCAAGCAAGTCAGTTGTGACACTGTTGGACAAAGGATTGATGACACTATATTCTCCTGCTGCAACAGATGAGCCACACAAAAAGCAACAACTGCACCGTATTTCAGTGTGCATTACCCTCTTTCTCACACAACCTAACAGTTCGATACATGCAACAGAAGGGCCATAACATTGCATAGGCTTGGTACTGGCAGTCACAGCTTGTGAGGCAAGGTCAATGACAACAGAGCATTCTACAACTGCATACCACATCAACACAGCCTCTGGCTGCCCGGTCATAATTGAATACTCTTCACATGCAACACACATTGCGCACAACGCTTAACATGCTGGGAACCAAGGAAGATTAATCCATTATAGATCCACAAGCCTCACCAGCTGCGGAGCTTTCCATTTTGTGTTCGGTCTCCCAAATGCTGCAGAAGTACACAAAGGCGGTTGCCAAACCAGATTCAATCAAGCCACAAAACGACAGCACAATGGTCAGAATTGTGCAGGCCCAGTGATAGCCGGCAATGGAGGCCTGTGGACCGCAGCACACTCCTAGAGATATAGGAGCCAAAAGGCTTTGAAAGGCCACATCAGAGAAACAAGATGCCCCTTGCGTGCATTTGCATTCCATGATGCCAAGCTGACATTGAACAAAGAAGGTCGAGAATGATAGCAAACAGTGACGCTTGCCTATCCGAAGATGGATGCATTTAGAACGGTTATCACGGCACAATGAACAGCTGGCCTTGCACTTGCATGGCGATTGCTATTTGAGAGTGAAGCACAGTGAGAGGGACACAAGTGCATGTGGAAATAGGCGACAAACATAACAGCATACATAACACTTATTGGCTTGTTGTGACAGTACAGGAATTCATAATACCAGGGGTGCTCCAAGAGCTCCACTCTTCAAGTACCAGTTCCTCCTCCAAGAACCATAAGACTGCAATAATGCAGCTATAGCCAGGTAATACCAGGTCAACTATTTTTCATCTAGATTGGCACATTTCCGTCAAAGGGAAAGGTGCAGCATCCTCTGTTGGCAATACAATATGCACCAAATGAATGTGCATAGTTCAGATGCACTTTTGGATGCGTGTAAGTCTTTGATCGGCATTGATGGAGTGCAGGCAACTGCTGGCCAGGTATCTTTGCAATTTGGCACTGGACAGCCACAGTGTGTGAAATGGCCACTTCAACAGCAGTTGCCACTAATTTGGTGCATTTGGCTGCCGTCCTTCCCAAAGGTGAAGACTGCGGCTCCCACCACTGTCCAACCCTCACTGAACAGTGGGCTTGCATCCTTGGACATGTTGGACAATGTGCAATGCTCTGCTGTTTAAAGGTTGGTACAACTTGACACCCATACAAGAATCCAAACAATTGGTGTTTAAGAATTGCATGCTCGCTGCAATCAATGTGCAGTACACATTGTGCACACAGCAGCAAGCCTGCCCCATGGTTATGCACGACACACTTCTGAATGCACACAAATACTGGCTGTACGCATTTATGTGCAGCTCCTTCATGTTTTCTCTTTATGTGCATGTATTATCCCTGCAGTTCTTTGTATCTTGCTGCCATTATGCTGGCAATCCATCCATCTATTGTGGCCCATTATGTTGCTATAATGTTGAATAGCGGGTGCTGAAATTGCGTTTGCTTCTGGAATACTGGGCCTCTCATTGCTTGTCGCAGCTGAACTGCAAAGAGTTTTACACTCACCCTCCCCTAAGGCTCAGGTTTGCCACCACATCCACAAAGTAGTGGAATGCAACGACCGTCTGGATGGCATTGAAGAAAAAGAACGCCAAAACAAGCTCCTTGAGAGAATGGATTATTCCCGCCAGACCAAAGATGCTGAACACATTGTTGAAGATCGAAATGTAGAAGAGGTAGTCAGACGGCGTGGTACCATCCACATAAGCTGCTCACCATGAATATGATGTCAGACTGTTAGGCACCCATTCCAACGATTCTAAACTTGAACAAGCCACAACGGAATTCGCTGAAAACAAACATGGACATCAACCAATCAACTAAATCGGCAGTGCTGTAGTATCCATGGGCAGGCAGCATGCACATACACAATATGGCGGCAAAGTGAAGATCCAACTGCATCATGAGCCCTGCTAAAGAGATCAGCTGGAAGAACACAAGTGATGAACAACACGTCAGCTGGGACAAGATGGACAGCACATGTTCTGTTAATCACAGATAACAAACAATGCATCAGAGTCATACCCATCCTCCTGGACAGCCCAAACACAGCACTGCAAGGCTGGGAAGGTTGTCAAATTTGCTTAGCGAACCTTGCCATAGTGGTGGCCATACCACTTGTTATGTACTCCACCAGAAAACATCCCTTCATGATTGAGCAGTGGGAACTATTTCCAGTGACTGGGCACACTGTCCGAGCACCCAAGATCCAAACACCACACTGCATTTTGTTGGCTCTTGCAAAGCATGGTAGAAGAAAGTCATTGCTGAGAAGCAGGTTGTGCTTCACATTCTGTGCCAATCCATAACAGTTCTCCAGCAGGCTGATACAAGGCATGGCTGGTTATCAAGCAATAAAATGGAGCCAGGCGTGGACCACACCACACACCCAATTTGTTCACATCACCCTCCTCTGCTTCTTCAGCAAACTGCCTGTACCAGGCTTTCTGCAGCACACAACAGACACACCGCAGATGTCACTGCAACGTACACCGTAGCAGGAGACAATCTGCATGGCTACATCTGATTCGATTGCATCCGTTGAGAACCACTAAAGTACTTCAAGGGCCAGAACAAAGGTACTGTCCATATGGGTTCCCACAGCAAAACCAGCTGTGGCGTGCATGTGACTACGGTCCTGGCAAGCACAGTGCCGCCCCACTGCCACCCGCGCGATGGCTGCATCTAATTGTTCCCCTGCGGGACAGAGCCTGCCAAGATGTGCCACGGGGGCTGACACAAGTTGAATCAATGAATGGGCGCTAGGCTGCAAACAGATTGGCGAGACACAGCGGCCATGTCACGCGCATATGCTCGGGCGCCAGACATGACACATTGCGCTATCTTTGAATAGATGTCGGCCCCACACCCGGTCATTGGCCAGTAGGGTCGACACCACATTGATAAATTGCCCTGAGGGGTTGTGCAGATCCAGGGGCCCAACTGCGCTGCTTCCCGACACCTCCCGGCTCCGCATCAACGCGACCGCCCTCAAGGAGAGACGCGCAGCAAGACACGTACCACGGGCCAGATCGTAACTCTCGTTTCGCAATGCGGACATTCTCTCGAAACGCGGCTTCGCGATCGCTTCGCCCGCGTCTGTCGGCGTCGCGCCCACAAACGTGGCGATCAGAGGCACGGCAGGCGCCACGGCCACGTGAAACTCTCGGGCTCAGCCCGGCTGCCGGAAAATGGACAAGTCTGGCTCCCAGGAGCAAAACTCCATGAGCTGACAAGCAACTTGGCCACAGGGAAGGGCCGGCCAGGCATTTAGGACAGAGGCCTTTCCGCACCGGCGGCACCGCGCACATGCCAAGGAACGCTCTCCCCGTGGTGCGTGTGCGCAAGAAACGACCGCCGTTCGACCAAGGTTTGCAGAATCGCCTTCATCGCTGACTCGCCTTATACTTTTCGTAGATACCCAGGATGCACAGCCCCACGACGAGCTGCAGGAGCGCCAGGCACAGCACACCGCCGCCGTAGCGCATTGGGGCTGCGTGCGCGAGGGGGGAGGCAAATCTGGCTGGGCGGCCGGGAGGGACAGCGAGGTGCGAAAGGGTGAGGCAAGAGGGCTGCGGAGGGAGGGAATGTTTGGGCCTGTTAAGGG